GCATTATTTATGTGTGTGTGTGTGTGTGTGTGTGTGTGTGTGTACATGCATGCTCACCTCTGCACACACTTCTTGAGGCCAGAGGACTCTCCATATTATTTCTTGATGATAGAGTCTCTTCTTTCACTGAACTTGACACTAGATTGCTGGCCAGTGAGCTCTGGGGTTCAGTCTTTCTGCTTCCTCAGCACTGGGGTTACAGACAGGCACCACTGCACCCAGCTGGGTACTGGAATCCGAACTCAGTTCCTCAGGTTTGCACAGTAAGTGCCATCTCTCCAGCCCTTGATTTCATTTTCCTTTATAACTGCATAAAATTCCAATGTATATATGTATGAATCCCTCTGTTGATGGGCATCCAGGCTAGTTCCACATCTTGTGAATGGTGTAGCCCTAAACACGGATGTGCAAGAATTTCTGTGATATGTTGACTTACAGTCCTTTGGGTATATACCCCAGAGTGGCACAGCTGGGTCACATGGTAGACCTATTTTTAGTGGGTTTTTTTTTTTTGGAACCACCATACTGATCCCCATTTCATACTGTCCCCTGTTCATACTGTCTCCTCACTCTTCCCCCTCTCCCTAGTCCCCAGTCCCATTTGTCTGTTGACAAACTCCCATTAAGCCTTCAAATTACAATAGAAAACTGCCTCCTCTGAGAAGTCTCCCCTGATGAGCCTTGCAGACTCTGTGATCCATCTTCTCAGAAGGAAGGTTAGGCACATGGTCTATGGAGAAAACATTTGAATCCTGGCTCCACTCAGCTTTCTGTGACCTTAGTTTCTTCATCTATAAAGTAAGGAGTAACAATAGTACTTTTACTTCATAGGGTATGTAGAGGCATTAAATGAGTTCATGTGTCTGGTAGGAGTAGCTATTGCTATTAGTGTTGTTACTGAAGATACTCTGTATTTGTTGAAGGCACAAGGGGTGGAAGGAGCAGCTGAGAGAGACAGGGTACACAGTATATTCAGAGAATGTTGAGTAATCCCCATCTGTCAGAAGGGGAGTAATAATAGCCTTATGGGCACATGTTGGGAAGAGTTTTTAATGTCACAGTAAAGAGTGCTCATCTTATTTAGTAAGCAATAAGAAACAACGACAGAGTCTGTCAACAGTTGGAAGAAAGGGCCCAAGAAAGAGGTTAGCCAGGAGATAAGTGGATAGGAGATGGGGAGAGAATTACGGGTGAGGGGTAGTGAGTTCCAGTGTGGGATGGTATTAGATGACATGTTGATGAGGACCCATGGAAGGATGGGTACAGGCGAGGGGAAGGGGCTTGAGAGGAAAGTAATATGAAGTGTGGAGAATGGGATGGCCAGGAGAGTAGTGATGGGGACATTCTGGGGAGTGCAGAAGATAAAAGGTGGAGACAGGTGAGGTTTATGAAGACAGGTGAGGAGCCGATGGACAAGCCAATAGCAAAAATCAGTAAGGTGGACCTGAGATCTAGAGGGGGGTCATCTGAGCGTCCCAGAGCTGGACGTATCGATAGGAGCTGGGTGGAACGTGATGTCAGAGGAACAGCAGTGATGTAAGGGCTGGGGCGGTGGGGCGGTGATGTCAGGGCTGGTGCTGATGCTGGCGGCGCAGTGCATTGTGGGCAGCTCCCCGCTCTGCCGCCGCCGCCGCCGCCGTAGCCGGAGGAGGATCC